ATTAATGGCTTCTGTAAGGTGCGATGAGAATGATGATGTTAAATCGTCTACCGTTTGATTAGTCCCTAACTCGCCAAACCAGACATGTGTAGCGATCCATCTCCCCAAAGCTTCAACCCCAGACCTTGGATAGCGCCGGATGCGACGTTTGACAGATTTCGTACGTTCTTGAGAATTGGTATTCTCTAGACTGGGTGACCATGTTACAATGTTATGGTCTGAGGACCCTAAGGGCGCTAAAACTTGGGGAGGTTCATACAGGTTTGGTTGGTTCGTAATTATCAGATCCAAAATGGCTGTTCCTCTTGTAGGGACTTTGACAACTTGCTTCAGGTTATGGCTTGATAATATATTCGATATATCGAAATCGTTAAAATCACCAAGAAGGACTAGACCACAGTTGGGATGTTGGTTGCGTAATGAATCTATTGTTAAAACTAAGTATTCATTAAATTGGCGGTGGTTTTCTACAGGTAAACCAGGAGGGTGATATACGTTGCTATGTGTTGCTAAGTCATTAGGAGGTGTGTAGGTAACTAAGGGATTAGGCGAACAAAAATCTGCATAACTAAGTGTATCCCAATGGATAGATAGGGATTATTTATAACGCAGGTGTATGCCTTAAAATCAGGCGCGAGGCTTTGTGGGCAAAAATTTACACAAGAATTTAGATTTAAAACACATTTATTTCTTTAAGTACTACAAAGTTATTAATTCTTGTTTCTAACTTTAACCACTCCTTTGAGCCATCATTCATTTCTGTATTGTCATTCATTTCTTTGCATATTTTGTATTTGATTTTGTTCTCTTCCTGGAGGATTTTGGTTGACGGATGGGTATATTCTTTATCCCGCTTTTATTCCACCTTGACTGCTTTTTACTTTTCCCAATTAATCTGCACAACTCTGTTAAAACATTTTCTAAGTCTAAAGCATTTTCTAAGTTGGCTTAGCACGAATAAGATAAGGTTGTCTTTTCTTGGGACGAAAGTTCATGGACTTCTGCCAAATGGTTTGCCAATCTTTTTAAAGCTCGCTTGCCGCAGATGGGACAATCTTTACACTTCCGAGGCATAATGTCAAATGATAAATGTCAACTGATTCCTAACTTTAAATAGTTGTGCCCCAAAGGCCTTTTTGAAGGTTTGCCGGGACTTGGGAGAGGATTCCAGAAATGGGTTAGGCGAAAAAAGCTACCACACAGGATCGTATTTTATTTTTATAAATCAAACACAAACAACCATTAAGAGTCAATGTCACTACGATAGCGTGTGTTTCTGAAAAGTCTTTTCAAAAAAAATTTTCTCTTGTCAATAGCGGCCTCTAACGCTTCCCTGTGGTCGAAATTATCATCATTGACAAAGACATCCCTGGTTTCCGTAATCTTTTTGTGTATTGGATCTCTCTTTAGTTGTCTTATCCATAGTAGACGTTCCAAATAAATATTCTGCAAATCTTTACGAAGTTTTGGTAGGATAAGTAAATATGCCTTCTCTTTAGCTTCGTTTTCGTCAAAACCTTCTGCAGTGAAATTCTGCATTAGTTCTTCCAATTCCGATAAACATTGTTTGGTTGCTTCAGCTTTTAAAGGAGCCCATGGATCGCTTTCGTATTCATCACCTTCTTCACTACTAGTATCATCCACATATCAGAATCACTCTCTGACACAGAATCAGTTTCCACTTCGTTGTCAGTGTTATACGAATTCTCAGCATCACTCTCTGATGTAGCACTATCAGAGTCTGCAACCGTTCTCATTCTTTTCATCTTTACACTGAAATCTATAGTAGGTTTCCAACAGTACGTACTGTATTTCCTTCGTATATTGTTAGGTTGAAACAACTCCAACCACAACCAACCGGCGAATGATCAATTTTTAGAACATTACATTTTATGAAGTGACCTTAAGGGACTTTTCTATGGTCTTGTGGCCCGATTGATGATTGGCTGGACACTTCCCATCAAACCTCCCCACCAATAGGACTCTACAAAATCGGGCCACAAGGCCATAAAAAGGCCCTTGGGGCTAATGTGAAAAGAGGTCCCAAGGGCCTTTTCTACGGCCTTGTGGCCCGATCGGGCCACAAGGCCGTAGAAAAGGCCCTAGGGGCCACCTTTCGCATTGGCCCCAAGGGCCTTTTTTATGGCCTTATGGCCCGATTCTCTAGAATCCTATTGGTGGGAAGCATCCCAGCCAATCGGGACACAAGGCCGTAGAAAAGGCCCTTGGGACCACTTTTCACATTGGCCCCAAGGGCCTTTTTATGGCCTTGTGGCCCGATTCTCTAGAATCCTATTGGTGGGGAGGTTTGGTGGGAAGTGTCCCAGCCAATCACCAATCGGGCCAGAAGACCATAGAAAAGTCCCTTAAGGTCACGTCATAAAATGTAATGTTGTTCTAAAAATTGATCATTCGCCGGTTGGTTGTGGTTGGAGTTGGTTCAACCTAACAATATACGAAGGAAATACAGTACGTACTGTTGGAAACCTACTATAGATTTCAGTGTAAAGATGAAAAGAATGAGAACGGTTGCAGACTCTGATAGTGATGAGAGAGTCTCAACATCACTCTCTACATCAGAGAGTGATGTTGAGAATTCGTATAACACTGACAACAAAGTGGAAACCGATTCTGTGTCAAAGAGTGACTCTGATAATGTACATGATACTAGTAGTGAAGAAGGTGATGAATACGAAAGCGATCCATGGGCTCCTTTAAAAGCAGAAGCAACCAAACAAAGTGTATCGGAATTCGAAGAACTAATGCAGAATTTCACTGCAGAAGGTTTTGACGAAAACGAAGCTAAAGACAAGGCATATTTACTTATCCTACCAAAACTTCGTAAAGATTTGCAGAATATTTATTTGGAACGTCTACAATGGCTAAGACATCTACAGAGAGATCCAAATGCACAAAAAGATTATGGAAACCAGGGATGTCTTTGTCAATGATGATAATTTCGACCACAGGGAAGCGTTAGAGGCCGCTATTGACAAGAGAAAATTTCTTTGAAAAGACTTTTCAGAAACACACAGTATCGTAGTGACATTGACTCTTAATGGTTGTTTGTGTTTGATTTATAGAAATAAAATACGATCCTGTGTGGTAGCTATTTTCCCCTAACCCATTTCTCGAACCCTCTCCCAAGTCCCGGCAAACCTTCAAAAAAGCCTTTGGGGCACAACTATTTAATGTTAGGAATCAGTTGACATTTATCATTTGACATTATGCCTCGGAAGTGTAAAGATTGTCCCATCTACGGCAAGCGAGCTTTAAAAAGATTGGCAAACCATTTGGCAGACGTCCATGAACTTTCGTCCCAAGAAAGACAACCTTATCTTATTCGTGCTAACCCAACAGCTTTAGACTTAGAAAATGCTTTAACAGAGTTGTGTAGATTAATTGGGAACAGCAAAAAGCAGTCAAAGTGGAATAAAAGCGGGATAAAGAATATACCCATCCGTCAACCAAAATCCTCCAGGAAGAGAACAAAATCAAATACGAAATATGCAAAGAACGTGGACAATACAGAAATGAATGATGGCTCAAAGGAGTGGTTAAAGTTAGAAACAAAAACGGGACAAAACTCTTAAGCGGATAATATTATATTTATACAGACAAGAATTATTAACTTTGTGGTACTTAAAGAAATAAATGTTTTAAATCTAAATTTTTGTGTAAATTTTTGCCCACAAAGCCTCGCGCCCGATTTTAAGGCATACACCTGCGTTATAAATTATCCCTATCTATCCATTGGGATACACTTAGTTATGCAGATTTTTGTTCGCCTAATCCCTTAATTACCTACACACCTCCTAATGATTTAGCAACACATAGCAACGTATATAACTACCGCATATTTGATAAAAACATTTTTATTTTTTACGCCAAAATGTATTACAACTGTTCTAAATGTTTTTTCAAGTATTCTTGATAAGCTTTCTTATGATCTGACTCGGTCATCTTAACAGTATATATGTATGTAGGAGGTTTGCTAAATAATCTTGAACATCATGCAAATATTGATCATAACGACGACGTTGACAACCATGTTAACCTTGATTAGCAACTGTTTAGTTTAAAATGTCTCGATTTTTGTGACGAATAGATTCCTAGCTATGTAACATACGATAAATCCTTCAATATACCTGTGGAAATTTATCTTTTCCGAGCAAGGATACGGCTATAACTCTGCTATATATTAATTTCGATAACAATTTTGCCATGTGAGGGACTCGAGCCAACATTAATCCCCTATTGTATCACACACGTGGAGAGACGCTAAAAAATGCGTAGTCAGCAAGTTTTGTCCGACCTTGTTTAAGCTTGCACGCGTGACGTCATTGCATATAATTATGACGTATTCTATACTAATGAGTGACGTCACTACGCAGGCTCATTTGTATGAATATTAATTATAAATGCGGTGGTGGACATCCACCACCTCAAACTCTACCACCTCACATCACCTCCTCCTCCTCCACACTTCTCCTCACTCCACCTCCTCCTCCTCACTCCACCACCTAAAAATAAGGGTCGAACGGCCTCTATATTACTACTGGTGTATGTTCCTAAATGTTCCTAGCCGGCAAATTGCAATGTAGCAAAGTAGTATTTATGAAAGCGTCTCGATCGGAACCTATTATTTTGACATGTCTGCAACCTGAACAGTCTTTGATTACGTTATTTTACCGTCGGGTGGCGGCTCCCCTGCTCGTTTACTTTTATAATGATTTAAATGTTGTTACGTTCGCGTGCGAGAACGAACAAAAATGTATGTCTGCATCTTTGTCATCTTTACGCTCGTTGCCCTCCTTGACCAGACACGGCGACACGCGCTGGCCAAGGAGGCTTTCTCGTATTTGGAATATCCTTCTTCTTAGTCTTATAAAGTTCTTCAACAATATCCACACACAACTTTATTTAGTACTGTACTTTAATCTTCTTTTTTCTAATCCTTTTTCTCTTATCTTAATTCTTTCTAACTTAATTATCCAGCTTATATACTATACGATAGATATTTATAGAATATTACATATATACTATTTTTAGATATTACATAGACGATAAATATAGCAAAAGCATGACTCAGCATAATGACGTAATGTCTTAAATTAAGAATGTTCATGACGTGACTGAATCACGTCACAATGTTGAGAAAGATATGAAATACGTCACGATGTTCTGTTGATATAACGAAAGTCTACAAATATGTGAGATCAGGCTCTATTTTGGAAATATACACAAACCTTCATTCGATCGCTTTCCACCCACAGCAAAATTTATATTTAGCATCAAATCAAAATATCTCAGGAGAAATTTGCAACTAACTGGAGAGCAAATAATTTCGTGAGTAATTTGTTTGTTTCACAATTTTTAATCAATGAATTGATACCGTGTTTTTAGCGTTTTTCTATAAAAATTGGTATTAAGATTTTGAGTAATGTTTTTCCTTTTTTCTAGATCTGACCCAGATTTTCACCAAGGGCATATAAATAGTGTTAGATATTCAGTTAGTATGTCATATTTCAGTTAGTACGCAGTGGATGCGCCCCCCCCCCAGACCCCTTGAAGAAAACTCTGGTATTCCATATTTGAGTTGCGAATACTACTTATATTGAAATAATTGATTTTCGAATACCCAAGAAAGTATTCAAACACCAACACGGTGGGTCACCACGTAACGTAACGTAACGTAACGTAACGTAACGTAACGTAACGCTTTTCGTAATGTTAGTCCAAAATACAAGTACTGTGAGGACAAATTTAAAGAATAAATGTAGTGCTCAGAACACTGTAAAAGGCATTTCAGGACTTCAAATTATTTTTAAAATTTTCTGGGGGACAACGCCCCCGGATCCCTGTAGTAATGCACACCCTCTGAAAGACCTCCAACCCCTCAAACAAATCAGGTCAGGACCACCGCCGATGGGAAAGGGGAAATACTAAGACAGCTGATCCCATCTCTTTGCCCATAAAATTATCGTACATGCATGTCAAATGATAAATGTTCAATAAAATGAGCAAGTCAATAACCAATTTTGAAATGACTCTTCTGATGACAATTATTGTGATATGAGAATATTTGAATGTACTTTATTTTCCATAACTTCATACAAAATACATATGTAGGCTGTGCACATAATCCCAGCTACCAAAACGTCTCTCCTTGCAGGTTACTTTACAATCCACATTTTAATCAGTTTTTAAGTGGCCTTCTTTTGCTGTCTCTTATAGCAAAGCAATTTCTAATTTACATCGACCGTATCTCACTAAGCGATACATGTCAGTAACTAGGATGATATGCAAAGACCCGAATTTGCAGTAGTTAAACAAATAAAGGAATGAAAACATGCATGGTTTTAATCAACACCACTTTCAATCATGTCAGTTTTTAAAAACGCAATACTGCTTTTTCACAAAAGGCAAAAACATCAGAATGTCTTTCTGAACCACGATTTAATGATTGTTTCACTACCAGAACACATGTATATCCATGCTCATTTTAAAATCATTTCTCTAATGGAGCGTAATTTAAAAGTTTCTCAATAAGGTCAACATGTGACAATAACATTCTACGACAGCAGTATCTCTTCAAGCCAAGATGATCCAATGCATCCCTTGGAAAAAAGAACATCAATATCAAAGTTTGTTAAATAATTTCATTGCATATAGTACACGTTTGGTATTTATATGTCGTTTCGTATTTTACTTTTCATTCAACATCTTTCGTGCGTATTTACTAGGAATGGACGATTAGGGAAGTGATGGGAAAAAAAGAAAAATTGTCATGCAACAAGGAAGCCAAAGAAGCTTTGAAAATTCCGCAAAAGAATCCTGCACAACCCAACAACCGAAAAAATTCATGGAACCTGAAAATTCCCCACTTTCCCCATCGCTTCTCCAATAATGGTCCGCCCTTTACAGAAATCTGAAGGACAAGATCACTTTGACGTCTTTCAAAATACACGGTCCTTTCCTTTATTTTTTTAAACAACATAATTTATTATAAATTATTGCAACAAGTTCATGTCAATAATTCAGAAAATGAAAGTATTGGTCGCCTGGCAGGACTGGAATTGCTATGCCATAAAGGCCCGTTTACACGTGCGATTTTTGCTGCGATTTTAGTTGCGATTTTCTCCTTTTGGAGGATCTGAAAGAGTAGATTACTTAATGATGTTGTTATGAGATTTCATAACCTGGAACATTTATAACTCATCCAGATATCCACTCCTTTACATCCTCCAAAAGGAGAAAATCGCAGCAAAAATCGCCCGTGTAAACGGGCCTTAACATATACATCCATACACTATAGATGTATATCGTATTTTATAGTACTTAACATTGGGTTTTGCCAGTGCTGTAGAACTAAAATTACCAGAGGGGGGTCTCTTGACGAGCGTGAAGCCGTGAAATTGTAAAAAAACGTGACGTCATGCGATGACCAGGCGTGAGCCATACGATGACCGGGGGGGGGGCAGGGGTAAATCTATAGCCCTTACCGCGGCGGCATTTTTTGATTGGGGGGGGGGGGGCTAGTGAACGCCAAAGGCGTGAGCCTTCTGGAACTGGGGTGTCCGGGAAATTTTGAAATCTGAGACTTTTCAGAGCCCCGGAAATGCAATAAAACCTGCTAGTTTCTCTTAAAAATTTCTTGAACGACTCTTAAGCAAGCCATTATATAGGGGTAAAAGCAAGCCATTATATACGGGTATTCGCTTAGTACATTTTTCCTGAATAGATATTTTTCTTCGAAATTTAATACCTTATTTAAGCGTAATTTAAATTGCATTCTCCATACTTATCGTCTTTACCTTTCTTATCTTCCTTATCTCGTTTGTGACATAATAAATTCTCGATTTTCTAAAGTAGAAGGGGGCTCAGCCCCCCAAGAGTTTGAAGAAGGGGGCTCCGCCCCCAACTTCTAAAGCACTGGGTTTTGCGACATATACTCATGTAGGTACAAAACCAGATATTATGGTTAATGCCCTATCTTCACTTTGTCTATATAAGCCAGATGACTTTGTATTTTTTACTAGCGATTTTATTAAGAATAATAGTAAAATGTAAATACGTCCATACCCCTCCGTGAACTCTGCTTGCAACAGTCCAAGGTATTTCTCCCATTTATTTCCAATAACTTTCCCACACGTAAAACATCGGATTGGAATAATCATTGTGTTAATTTCAAACTTGTGCGAAGCAACTATATAAAGAAAATAAGTTAAGTCAGTAAGTAATAGTGTGTCCAAATGCATGCGCAATAATACTACCTACAGCGATGGTACCATAGGATGAGGAGGTTAATCAATAAACCGAAGAAAACGATGTTTTGCGAAAAAATTAACCGACGTTTTTGCACAAGAAAACTGACAAACTTATAGTAATGTACGTCTATTAATCATTAACGCACGTATTACGATTAGTTTATAATTAGAATATGGACATTATATATTCAGTTGTTTACATGTAGCCGAGATATCAAGAAGTCTATTAAATAAGAGAATATTATAATGGCGACGAAGATAAACGTATTCTATTAAACCAAACGATGGTGGAAGAGCAGGCAGAGCCTCAACCACTGCAGCAACCGGCTGTACAGATCATGCAATCTGTAACGATAACTCCAATGCCAGAATTTTGCCCAGATGCAAAAATCGGAACAAGCCTTTCGACAAGATGGAACAATTGGCAGTCAGACTTTGAAATGTATATAACCGCAAGTGGAATAACGGATCCAAAGCGAAAACGTGCACTCTTGCTATATCAAGCCGGACCGAGAGTTCGCGAGATTTTTAAACAAATCCCCGAGACAGGAACTGATACGGACTGCAACATCGTGAAAGAGAAATTAAAGGCTTACTTCGACCCTCAAAAGAATCGGGGTACGAAGTTTATCGTTTTAGACAAACAACTCAAGAACACAATGAGACATTAGATCAATTTCACACCAAACTTAGAACAATATCAGAAACCTGTGAATTCGCAGACGTTGAATTTGAAATTGAAGAACAAATCATTATAGGCGGAAATTCATCAAAAATACGAAAGCGAGCAC